ATAGAACCCCTAAACTTTTGCTTCCACATTTGGATATGGGATTTTCAGGGGATTCTGCCATAGCTGTACCAGCTCTGGGCTATAAAATGATTTTTTTTTTTTTTGGTTTTTCGAGACAGGGTTTCTCTGTGTAGCCCTGGCTGTCCTGGAACTCACTCTGTAGACCAGGCTGGCCTCAAACTCAGAAATCCGCCTGTCTCTGCCTCCCAAGTGCTGGGATTAAAGGCGTACACCACCACCACCCAGCAAAATGAATTATTTTTAATCTAAGTGTAAGTAGAAGATTAATCCGACAGCTGTATTTCCTTAACCCTTGCTAGTCCCCAATAACCACATAAGGAAAACAAGATTTATTTCAAGCTGCACCTCAATAGCTGGGTAGTTAAATGATTATATTAACCCTTAAGCTATCTGGCTACCTCCCAGCCATAATCCCAAATACTTGCATATAATTACTGAACTGGTTCTTTTGGCTTCAGATGTTTTTTCTCATGGTGTCTTCTTGGATCCTCTCCTCATGGTTTATCTTCCATTCTCATGGGAGATCTGAAGCTAACTCTCACTCTCTCTCTCTCTCTCTCTCTCTCTCTCTCTCTCCTCTCTCTCTGTCTCTGTCTCTCTCTCTCTCCCTCCCTCCCTTCCTCTCTCCCTCCCTCCCTCCCTCCCTCCCTCCCTCCCTCTCCTCCTCCTCCTCCTTCTCCTCTTCTTCCTCTTCCTCCTCTGACTAGTGGAAGCTTCTGCCCTATCCTCTCTTCTGCCCAGCCATCAGGAGATCAGCATTTATTGACAAGGCAGAAAATAAATGGTAAGGACTATTTACACAAACTTAAGACAGGAAATTCTTGGTATAAGCATTACAATGCCGTGTCCGGATTGAAACCAGATATGAAGGCGAAGAAATCAGAACTTGAATAACACAAGGGAGAAATTTACACAGTGCACAAAAAAAAAATTCTACTTACACTGGACAGCAGGAGCTGGGCCAGGAGCATCACAGGTGCAGGTCTGGTTAGCCAGTAGTGACAGGATGCAAGCACAGGGGAACAGTGTGCTGGCAGCGAAGGAGAGGATTTGATGCTCACTTCGAAGGACTGGTGGTGTGCGCTCACAGCTGTTAGGCCCCCTCACTTCCTGCTGCTCATTACTTAAATGTCACCTCCAAGGTGCCACAGAATTTTTCTTGTCCTTTATTTTATTTTTATTTAAAATTATTATTATTATTATTGAAGAATGTTATGACTGTGTGAATGTACTTGGCTGGGGGAAGGGTACCTGAGGAGACCTGAAGGTGTCAGGTTCCCTGGGGTCACAGGCAGTTGTGAGCTACCCTGAGGGTGCTGGGGACCCAACAGAGGACCTCTGCAAGAGCAGCCAGCACTCCTCACCACGGAGCCGTCCCTCCAGCCCCACCACTTCTCTTAGCATATACTAATTGTCATGAAATAGATTTTGGATTTGAGGTTTCTACACGGAGCTCTGCCCAAAGCACAGATGTGTAGGCAAAATAAATGTTGTCTGAAGCCACTGAGTTTGGGGATGGCTTGTCACACAGAAATGGAACTGGACCAGAAGCCTGGGACTTAAAACAAGATTTACACTGGGCTTGGCGGTGCGGGCCTATAATCACAGTGCTCATGAGGTAGAGGCAGGAGGATGAGGACTTCAAGGCTATCCTTGGCTACACAGAAGATAGAGACTACTAAGAGACCGTGTCTAAAAAATGAAAGAGAGAGAGAGAGAGAGAGAGAGAGAGAGAGAAATAAGAAACATAATTATCAGATTTTCCCTATGAAAGGGAGACATTCCTTACCCATTCGTGAGTATTCGTGAAACAGACGTGATCATGGGTGTTATAACTAAGACACAACTGTTCTAGGCAAAAGCTTCCACTTTCCCATAATCCTTTGTGGTCAACATGACATTTCTATTTCTTAGATTAATTTCTATCCATCTGTGTATGTGCATGTGCGCGCACACACACATACACATGTATATATGAACGTGTATATGATGCCCACAAAAGCCAGAAGACAATGTTGGATCCCCTGGAACTGGAGTTATATACAGGTGGGTATGAGTGGGTGCTGGGAACTGAACTAGGGACACCAGGAAGAGCAGCTAGTGCGTTAAATTACTAAGCCATCTTTACAGCTTTGCCTAATAGCTTAAAAAAAAACTTTTTATTGATTCTTGACCTAATAGCTTTTTTTTTTTTTTTTTTTTTTTTTTTTTTTTTTTTTTTTTTTTTTTGTTTTTTGAGACAGGGTTTCTCTGTGCAGTCCTGGCTGTCCTGGAACTCACTCTGTAGACCAGGCTGGCCTCGAACTCAGAAATCCGCCTGCCTCTGCCTCCCAAGAGCTGGGATTAAAGGTGTGCGCCACCACCGCCCGGCTGACCTAATAGCTTTTAAATCATGCCGTTGTACACTTTGATTTGATTCCAGCACTCAGGAGGCAGAGGCAGACAGCCCTCTGTGAGTTTGAGCCCAGCCTGGTCTACGTAGTGAGTTAAAGAACTACAAAAAAATTATTTTGTGTATGCATGTATGTGGGTGTGTGCTTGCCGTGGTGAGCATGCGTGAGAGTCAGAGAACACCTCTCTGAAATCAGTTCTCCCCTTCCACAAGGTGGGTCCCAAAGATGGAACTCAGCTGAGATCAAAACATTCTATCCTGCGGGAGAGTGAGAGCTCCGTATTCCAGGAGGTGAAAACAACAAACGAGCTTCAAGAAGTCCCTGAAACTGACTAGATTCACTAGGCCTCTTCCTGCCGGAGTAAACAGAACTCAGCTACAAAGTCTCTCAGATGAACCTAAGCACCAAGACTCAGACAAACTGAGCTGCAAAGGAGACTCTCAGAGGAGAAGAGCTGCAGAGGGGACTCAGACCAGACCACTGCCTGGAAGCATCAGGAACCAGCTTGGAAAGGATACTACCTAACCTGTTGAGCCCCTGCCAGCTGCTCAGCTTACTCCAGGTTCCCAGCTTTTGTGAGCTGTCATTCACACTGGGGTGGGCTTTAGTGGTGCAGCTGTCTTTGAGTCATTTCTGTTCCTGTAAGTTACCTCAGTAAAATTCGTTGGTTTGCCAAGTTGGACTTTGGTGATACCTGGTCTGTTGCGGGTTCCCTATCTAGGAAGAGTAAATGAATGTGTTTTGTCTTCTTAGGAAAAGTTTTGTCACACATCGTACTTTTACCTACCAGCACTTCTGGTAGGTAAAATACACACACACACACCAACCTGAAACATGAACCCAGGTTTTTGAAGGTCTGCTACTGAGCTTCACCCCTCATGGTTACTCCCTCCCCTTGTAACTGTTTTGTTTGATGTTTGGTCTTTGAAGCAGAGAGTCTTACCATGTAAATACAGTCCAAGCTGCTAGAGTCCAAGTCCTGCCTCAGCCTTCCAAGTGGAATCACAGGTCATATGAGCCACCATGCCCACCAAAAGCACATTTATTTTAATAACTTTTTTTTTTAATCACTTTTAGAAAGAAAGTTGTGTTTTACTTTGTATGTGCCAGGGATTGAACTCAGGGCCTCTTTTATGCTAAACACTGGGACTCTGCTCCTGAGCCACACACAACCCCCCAAACCCCTGCCCCATTAATTTCTTTTTTTTTGCTTTGTTTCAAAACAGAGGGTCTTGCTGTGAACCCCAGGCTGGCTTCCCACCGTGGAATTCTCTTGTCTAAGCCTTCTGAGTGCTGGAGTTATAGGCGTGTACCCCAACGCCCAGCGAATCGAATTCTAATCGCTTTATGTTTTCATCAGAGCACATGTAGGCTCTGAAGTTCCCCTGTGGCCCCCTAAGATGTGCATGCTTCCAACTCATCCCTTTCAGAGGTACACATCACCGGGCTAGTCATAGACACTCCCCAGCCTTCAGCCCACAAAAGTGGAGCAAAGCTGGTTCCCAGTGCAGCCACTATTGTGTTTATGAGCTGCTTTTCCACGCTTCGCTGACGTCACCCCCATTTGCACCACATCCTTCCTTAGGGAGAATGAAGGCTTTACTTGTTTTTACTTCAGTCTGTTTTAAAAGTTGCCTTATGCCGGGCAGCGGTGGCGCACGCCTTTAATCCCAGCACTTGGGAGGCAGAGGCAGGTGGATCTCTGAGTTCAAGGCCAGTCTGATCTACAAAGTGAGTTCCAGGACAGCCTGGGCTATAAAAGAGAAACCCTGTCTCAAAAAACAAACAGAAACAAAAAAAAAAAAAAGTTGCTTATTTTCAAGCCTTTTCTTCTCCCACCTTCCGCAGTAATGGCTCTCACTTTAAAAAATATATTAAAGCCGGGCGGTGGTGGCGCACCCCTTTAATCCCAGCACTTGGGAGGCAGAGGCAGGCGGATTTCTGAGTTTGAGGCCAGCCTGGGACAGCCAGGGCTATACAGAGAAACCCTGTCTCGAAAAAACCAATATATATATATAATTAAAAAGCTGCCTCCTCCTTTTCCCGGGAATCAGGTTTTTCTCTATTTATGTCTAGTAATTTTAGTTTGTTCTGGAAACATTTCAATGGTATATGAAAGGCACCTCCGTACTGACAGGGACATCTCCTACTCCAGGGCCTCAGGGCGACGACGGCTGCTTGCTGCACATGTGGGGGCGTGTAGATGTCACCAGGCGCGCTTAATTCTCCCATCTCAGAGGGTGCTAGGCCGCGAGTTCCCTGGTTGGAGCGTTTTGGAAGAGAATGGAACTCTGAACGGTTGCCAGACTTAACTCCCCAGTCTTTGCTACCAGTCCCCTGGGGGACCACGAGATCCACTAGTTCCCCAAGGGCGGATTCTGGCGGCAAGATCAGAGTTGACTTCAAGGTCCATGTCTGGACTCGGGGACGGGTCAGCATCAAGTCTCAGCCTCTGAGAGGTTTAGGCAAACGCGATCCCCCGGACGCGCAGACACCCGCTTGTCTCCTGTCCAGCGGAAGGTCCTCCTGCTCGCGCGCCTCCTTAAAGCTGCAGCTCCGCCCCGCCCGCCCCGCCTACCCGCGGTTCTTTCCAACCGCCGGGCCCGAGCAACTCCACCGAGCGTCACAAAGCCACGAGCCCGCAAGGAGCGCACAACTCTCTGCGTCCCCGTACCGGATCGCGAACCCCAGTTCCATCACCACCATCCGCCACCATGTCCAGCGAGGAGCTGGCCTGCAAGCTGCAGCGCCGGTTGAGACTTGAGGTGCGGGCAGAGAACGACCAGGGCGGCCCCCAGCCTGCACCCTGCGCTGCTCCAGCCGGGCTCCGGGAGCCTGAACCGCCTGCCCAGGCGCCCACGGCCAGCGGGGACTCCGAGCTGAACCTCAAGCTGAGCCGCCGGCTGGATATCCACCAGGGCGCAGCGCGGTCCCGCCGCTGCAAGGTCTTCAACCCCTACACGGAGTTCCCGGAGTTCAGCCGCCGTCTCCTGAAGGATCTGGAGAGGATGTTCAAAACGTGAGCGCTTGTTCTGAGCCCCCAAAGAACCGGGGATCAGAGACTGGGCGAGGGGTGGCCGCGCCGCGAGTGGGACAGTGAGGAAAGGAAGTGCAGGCGTTCAGGGGTTCACTGAGCATCTGGCCCAGGGCAAGCCAGATCGTGCGCATCAAATTCTTTGCGCGATGGGGAACTTCGTCCGGCTGGGGATCTGAGAGTTAGGAGCCCTCTGTCCCGGACGGAGGTCAGAGGGTCCCACTAAAAAGCCCCCTCTCAGGAGTTCCCTACTCTCCAGGGCGGGGGCGGGACCCGAATCCTCCTCCGCCCACAGATCCAGAGTTTTGCTCCTAGCGAGGGCGCATCTCACTTGCCGGCCTTAATTTTATCCCTCAAGGGAGAAATTAGCTGCATTCTCTTTTATCTTATAAAACGAAGGAAACAGTTGACCCTTGTCTTCATTAAAGGGTGTGAGGAGGGCAGCGGTGGCGCACGCCTTTAATCCCAGCACTTGGGAGGCAGAGGCAGGCGGATTTCTGAGTTCAAGGCCAGCCTAGTCTACAGAGTGAGTTCCGGGACTGCCAGGGCTATACAGAGAAACCCTGGGGTGGGAGTTGGGGGTGAGGAATGAACGAAGGCTGAGAACAAGGTTGCGTTAAAGACACATAGGCGTCACTAGGTCGGTGCGTGGTGCAGGAGCCTCCTAGGGGCGTCGCCTAGTCAGTTACCCTTCCAGCCGGTGAATGGCAGATGCCTCTAGCTGGGGACTGATGCCGCTAGTCACTAGGGTGCCGCTTGCACCCTATCACCCATCAGAGGAGGAGGGCATATAAAGACCCAATAGGTGGCCTGTCACGTGAGAGGTCTATTCTCTGACCCCATTTCCCCACTCAAAGCAGTAAGTACTCTAGCTGCTCCTTCTTTCTCTCCCTCCCCCACCCCTGTTACTTTTCTTTCTAAGCGAGATGTGGTGACGCTGTCGTCTAAATCCCAGCATTTGGTTTGGGGAAGCAGAGGCAATCTCTGAATTCGAGGCCAGCCATGGCTACATAGTGACACTCTGTCTCAAAAAAAAATCACATCTGTTTATTTACGATGAGTGTGTATGTGTGAGGAAGTGTCATGGCACACTCGTGGAGGTCAGAGGACAAGTTATGGGGATCTGTTCTCTCCGTCCACCATGCAGGTATTGGGATCAAACTCAGGTGGTAAGACCTGGTAGCAAGTTGAGCCAGCTGAGCCATATCGCTGGCCCCACCTTTGCCTTTTAAGGCCACAAAGTAGTCTGTACACCGAAAACGCCTCACTAAGCTATTAATATTATTTCCAGAATTGGACCGAGACCGGAAAAATGACTGGGGGAGCGAAGGCCGCTGGCCAGGTCATGCTTGGGCGTCTTTAAAAGCGCTTGGAATGTGTTTGCCCTCAACAAGGAGGTTCTATTTAAAGGCACTGTGGCGATCACTGTGGGCTCCACTACTCCCGCTTGCTCGGAGGTCTACAGAGCACCTGTGATACTCGCTACCTCTCTGACACCTTGCTTTCTCAGTCCCGGGCACCCAGCCACGGTTCTCTGGGTTCAGTTTGGGCAACTGAGGAAGCTGGAGTTCCGGAGTAGAGAATGAGACTGGGGTGATGGTGGAAAGGCCAGGGAAGACACCGTGGTTTGACAGATTCCCCCCTGTGGTTTTCTTTGGATTTTACATTTCATGGGGGGAATGGCTACTCTAGCCTTGATGCTCACCCATATATCAATCCCTCCTGTGCTGGCAGAGCCATCTCCACCTTGCTCTACTGTCTCTCCAGCCTCTTTTGGTTTTTCTGGGAAGCACTCTCTGGAAGGTTAAGTCTGTTAGTCTGCTGTGTAAGAGGAGAAAAGTTTGCCCAGTCGGGGGTCTTTGGGGCCAAGCAATGTTGGCACTGACAAAGAACAGGCTCTGGCCCAGCGTCAGGGGAAGGCAGAGTGCGACCTGGAGTCCTGGAATAGCTGGCAGCCTGAACCGTGCAGGACATTTCTACAAAGCTAAGCTGCCCGTCTGAAGTCTAGGTTAGATCCTTTGTCACCTGCAATAAAACCACATGAACAAAGGGAAGTGACCTGGCTCCTAAAACAAAGCCCAGGGGCCTGCTTCAGGTGTGGCTAGACCTGGCACACAGGTGATGATACAGTCATGTTTCCTGTCTTGTCCCCCTTCCTCTCCCTCTCTTACTGGTTTCTTGAGGTAGGTTATATAGCACAAGACAGCCTTAATTTTTACTATGTAGCTGAGGCTGGCTAGCTCCTGGTCTACAATGCCCTCTCCCCAGACTGAGAGTCTCCCTTTACTGTCCAGGATGGACTTCCAGCTGTTGAGGTAACATGTGTATAGCAACAAATCCAGCCCATTTCTTGTTTCCTAAAGGCCTCTCCCCTCCCCTCCCCTCCCCTCCTCTCCTCTCCTCTTTGCCCTTACTCTTAGGTGGCTCCTTCCAGTGGCATAAGTGTGGTGGCCACAGTTGCTCCAGAAAAGTCCAGTGAGAAAGAATAGTCACAGCAGCCGCCTTTCTTTAGGTGTGTTGTGAGATGGGGGATATTATTAGTTCTAATTGGCTCTTACCCAGTAGCTCAGGGTACATTAATTGCTCTCTTTGGCCAGGACTGAGCCCGTGCCTTCCCACTTTCTAAAGTAAAAGGATGCATGCATTTTCCCACACCTGCACCCGCTCTCCTTACCTACCTCAGGTCCCCCATGCCTAATAAAAACAGGAGTTGCTCAGCTCAGACCTTCCTGAGGGTCCATGAGACTCTGCCCCCAGCTGGGTTCATTTTTCCACGGGGTGCTGGATCTTCCATACCTAAGGCACCAGGAACTTCATCCTGTGTCTCCCCCATGGCCAGGGCCCAGTCTAGGAGCTATCACTATCTAGGCTCTCCTAATACACTCTGGTTTTAGCTCCCATCCAGCCTGGTCCCAGGGAGACATGAAGCCCTGACCAGCGGTAAATGAATCCAACCTTGTTTTCTGGAAGTGTTGAGAGGTGCCTGCGCTCAGACCTGCCCAGGTGCTCTGCCACCTTCCGCCTTGAGCTGCCTTAGGGTGGCTCTGAGTCCTTCTCTCTGTTTCATCAACTGGTGTTGGTGTGCACGTACAGTTACATGCCCATACTCCTCTGTTTTTATCCTGGCAAGGGCAGGTCCTGGGCGCCCTTCCACCCTTCTGTCGAAGCCACTGGGGCTTGATGATCTGCAGATCTGCTGCAGCCCGGGCATGTCACCTGTCCTGTAGTTGATGAGAGTTCCTTTTCCTCTGCCTTAAATACCACAATTTTATTTTATTTACTGAGATCGGTTTTTTTTTTTTTTGGTTTTTTTTTTGTTTGTTTGTTTTTCCTGTAAACCAGGCTGGCATTGCTCCTGCTTCAGCCATCCATGTGTTGAGATTACAGATGTGAACCACCACTGGCTCTGTATGAATGTTTTCTTTTCTTTGAGATAGGTTTTCACATATCTTAGGCTAGCCTTGAACTCACCATGTAGCCAAGGTTGACTTTGAACTTCTGATCCTCCTGCCTCTAGCTCCCAAGTACCAAGACCACCATATCTATTTTTGCAGTGTTGGGGATCAAACCCAGGGCTTTGTGTGTGGTAGAAGAGTACTAACTAAGCTACACCCCCTATCCTTCTGCATGACTTTAAAAAGAAAATATAAAACTGTCCAGGTCCCCCTGAACACCCTCTTGCCCTCTAAGCTTCACACTTTGCCCATAGAGTGCAGCATTGACTGTTAGCTTTGAGCCAGACAGGGAAAATCCAGCACAAGGCTTGGGCCTCCTGTCACCCCAGACTCCCCTGGAAGCCAGTGCCTTCAAATCGACTCTCTGCTTTCCTGACCCTGAGAGCCTGGCCTGCTGGGGCAAGTTCAGGTCCCCTACCCACCCTTGTGCCCCCAAAGCAACATGTTAAAAACAAACAATAGAAACCCAAACACAGAGTGTACCAGCTTGTCACTGGTTAGATGGCTTCCTAACTTTCACTTCTAGCTGACCAACCACTCTGGGTGGTTGTAAGGGACATGATTGGGAACAGGACCTAAGGTTCAAACCTGGCCTCACCTCCACTCCCAGGAGAGTTTCTCTGGACAGCCAGCTTAAATGCCCTTTGTGTTTGGGTCCCTCTTCTGGCAGGTGGGGCTGTCCTGTGGGGTGTGTGTGTGTGTGTGTGTGTGTGTGTGTGTGTGTTTGTGTTGAGCAGGAAGCAGTTTGCTGACCCTAGCTGGGAAGACTTTCTGGGTTGGTTTCAGTCACTGACTTTCAAATATTTATTTATTTATTTATTTATTTTTGGTTTTTGGAGACAGGGTTTCTCTGTGTAGCCCTGACTGTCCTGGTACTCACTCTGTAGATCAGGCTGGCCTTGAACTCAGAAATCCGCCTGCCTCTGCTTCCCAAGTGCTAGGATTTGCCACCACTGCCCGGCAAATATTTATTTATTGCTTATTATGATTATTTTGGTATTTTTTTCCAAGTAGCCACTCACTCTGAATCCCAGGTTGGCCTTGAACTCAAAGCAATCCTCCTGCCTCAGCCTAAGCTGGGATTATAGAAATGAGCAGCTACACCCTTACTCACAGATTTTTTAGATAATCACATGGCTGTCGTTTAGTCCCCATAAAAATTTCTGCTGCCCTTTTTGTTTAATGATTCACTTTGCCTGAGGTTGCTTGGTTGCTTGTCGTTCCTCTTCTGGTCATTCGAGCAGGATCTCACTGTCAATGGGCTACAAGCCCACCACGTCACAGACCGTGGACAGCCTGCTCTCTGAGCTATGCAGTGGTGGTCTGCTTCTTCTGGGTGCTGTGGGTGGATCATTGGCTCAGTGTCCTTGTCTCCCTGAAGCCTTCAGAATGCAGTCCCCTACCCTGGGTAGCTGAAAACAACCACACTTTATTCTTCATAACTCTGAAAGCCTTCAGTGCAGGTGTTGGCTGTACCCTGCCTGCTCTGTGGCCTCTGCTCTCTCTCTTCTCTCTCTCTCTCTCTCTC